CCCTAAACCCTAAACCCTTTTTGGAGTCGGGCCCAGAGTGTAGGTTCTAATATAGGGGCCTTATAGTTAGAATAGGGTTTTGGGGGTCCTTTACGGGGTTCCTTTTAAAGGGTTCTATAAGGGCTACTATAAGGGTTTAGGGTTTTGGGGGCCTTAATAATTAGAATAGGGATTTGGGGCCCATGATACTAGATTTATAATAAGGAACCGCCAAAATAATAAGGAACCGCCAAAATAATATTGGTAATTGTTTATTGTAGGCCCCTACATTAGGTTTTAGAGTCTGGGGTGTGGGTTTTCATTCAGGGGTCTGGGTTTAAGGTCTCTGGGAAAATTCTGGCATACCATCCTCAAAAACTCTGATCAGGTTAGTAGCAAGGACCCCCCATGTTATGATATTGGGTTCAGGCATCCAGGTCGTTTAGGGCTTGGGTGTTGGATGTAGAGTTTTTGGTTTAAAGTTTAGGGTTTAAGGGTTTTTGGGGTTCAGGGTTTAGGATTTAGAGTCCGTAGCAGATTCACTCAGGATGCATGGCTCAGTGCTCACCGTGAGAATGTCCATTGTTAAGGCTTCTACTATTGTGGGGGAGTCTGCATCCCAAAGAGACATTCCAAATATGCTTGTTTTTGTATTCTTTATTCGTATGATTACTTGTTCTTTTTAGTTGCCGTATTCTTGTTATTGAGGCCCCTGGCTAGCATGCACCGGCTTAGCGTACAAAGCATAAAGCTTAGGGACAGACTGAAGGACCCAAACGGTTCGGAGGCGTGCTTTCTTGAATTTATAAAGTCGTAGGGCAAGTAAGGCCAGTACCTAGCCCCCCCAACTACCCTCCATTTTTTTCCCCAAATACCCACTATTAAGGACTATAAGGGCTCCATTAGAGGGCTCTTGCGGGGTCTTGGTATATTCAACCTAACAAGGCCTGAGACAGACCCTTAATATAAAGTGCCTCTGCAAAGCCTTCTGCAAGTCCAAAAGCCAGAACAGACTGAGTCTCCCTGCTTCGCGCAAGAGTGCGGGCGTAGTTGCCGGACACAGCGTGAACCGTTATATGGGCGTTTCCGATAATTAGGGTACCCTATTTTGGGGTCCTTATAACAAGGATCCTACTATTTAGGGTACTATATTGGGGTCCCCTATTTTCTGAAACCCCCATATCACAGGCAGAGGCGGGGCCACCCATCTTAAACCCCACCTACGTCTTCGAACCTGGGCTCCACGACGATGAGAAGAAGCGGAGCCGGGAGAATGCCATCGACCCCCACAATGCGGGCAGCAGGGAGGGTGCAAGTTGCGGGCATCGCCACCCTCACCAGCCAGACTTGGATGGTGGTGCTTAGGGTCAGAAGGCTGGCTTTTGCTGTAGTTACAATGGCCTGACGATGCTAGCTGACCTTTAAGTCGTAGGAGGTCGGGGCAGCGTTTCTCAAGAGGTATGGTGGGCAGTCCGGTGCCAATTCCTCCTACAATGGGGACTATACTCCATAAGTAGTAGCCTAATCCTCAAGCCCAAAGTATAAAGTCTAACACTCTAAAACCGTAAACCCTACAACCCCAAAGACCTAAACTAAGTCCTACAACCTGAAAGCACGTAAACCCTAAACTTCGAAAGCCTTAGCCCTAAACCCCAATCCTTAGGAGCCCAACAGGTAAGCTTCAAACTTTTTTGGTATACTAAGCCCCTACCAAAAGAAAAGTTTAGTTTTTTTGGGCCAGGGTACTGGGCTTAGAGGAATCTTGAGGACCCTAAACCCTATAGGGTTTAGGGTTTAGGGTTTAGGGTTTAGAGTTTAGGGTTTAGGATTTAGAGGTTTAGGGTTTAGGGTTTAGGGTTTAGCCCTAAAACCGTCAACTCTAAGCTCCAAAAGCTTTAACCTCTAAACCTTAAAATCCCTAAAGCCCTAAAGCCCCAACCCTAAAATCCTAAACCTTATAAACGCTAAAGCCCTACACATATTAAACCCCTAAACCCAGAACCGTCAGTCAACCCTAAACCTTGTAATCCCTAAGCCCCAAAACCCGAAATACCTTCTTTAAGCCCTAAAGCCCTACAGCCTATCACCCACAACAAACAACCCCAAACCCTAAAATCGTCAATCCTTTAAACTGAAGCCGTACGCACCGAGGCTGCCCTACGACAGCACAGATGGCCGACACTTGCACCGGCACATGAAGAAAGGACCTGGTTTAGGGTTTGTTTAAGGGCTTGGGGGTTCCTTGAAGGCTGAACTTGGATCTTAGTCTTTGGTTTAGGGTTTAGGGTGTAGGGGTTCCTGGAAAGGGTTCCAGAAGGGTTCTGTAGGTTTCTCTACAGAATGGCCTGTATTTAGGATTTATATTGCAGGGTTATTGCTTACGCTATTCAGGGTGTTCGGATCTCTAGGGTTTATACCTTAAGAACCCAAAACCTACTTTTTTGTAGGGTCCCTATAAATCCCATATTAGGGTTCATAATAAGAACCTATAAAAAAGTGGGTTTGGGGTTCTTAAGGTAGGGTTGAGGCTTAGGGTGCGGAGTGTCGGATTGGAGGCATCGTACGAGACTCTAAAGGTCCAAGTGCCCAAATGGGGGTTTCCGAGAATAGGGGACCCTAATATAGTACCCTAAATAATAGGATCCTTATTGTGAGGACCCCAAAATACGGTACCCCTAATTTCGGAAACTCCCAAATAGTATCAAAACAATCCAGAGGATACCTGTGACCCTAGAAAATAGAAGGTTGTGACTCAGCTATGACCCCTTTATTAAGAGGGTAGAACCCTCAAAACGACAGGCTTTTGGATCCCAGGTACTACCCAGAGACTCCCAAACCCCTTGATTAAGGGATAGACCTTAAACTATAATAGGATCACCTATATGATTTAAGGTATATGTATATTCCTGAATCAAGGGGTTTTGGAGTCTCTGGGTATCTGGGCCCTAACACCCCGCTGGTGCTTGAGACGTTCAGACGTTGGATGCGCCCATGTGTACTGCAGCTCAAAAGCCCGTGGGCTCCTAGACCCCAGACCCTAAGGCCTAAACCCTAAACCCTAAACCCTTTAGGGTTTAGGGTTTAGGGAAGTTCTGGGGCGTGTAATTTGGGATGAGATTCCCCTCTAACTCCTAACATAGAAGAATTGGAAAGCCAAAATCCTTGAACTCTAAACCCTAAATCCTAAACCCCGATAATCTCAAGAAGCAAAGCTTGGAGGAGAGGCGGACCGGGTGAAGGTGTACAAGGGCGAGGCAGCGTTTAGGGGTGCAGCCTTGAGGTTTAGGATATAGGGTTTATGGTTTCGGGCGGGTTTAGGGTTTAGGGTCTAGGGTTTAGGGTTTAGGTCTTGGGGCTGTGTGCTTTTAGGGTTTCAATGTGTTTGGGGGTTGAAGGTTTCATGTTTTCGTCTGTGTCTGCGCTCTAGCCTGCCAAAAGATTTTTGCGTTTACTCCTAAACCCTAAGCCCAATACTCCCTAAACCCCAAACCCTAAGCCCTACACCCCAAACACGACAGCACACCCAAAACCTCACTTGTGAGCGCCTCAGACTTGGCGCCTTGCAGACTGCACCATAAACCCACCCAGAGAACCCAGTACACCTGCATTATGTAACATACCTTAAATTATAGGGGCCTTATCATTATGGTTCAATTAATGTATATTCCTTAGTTAAGGGGTATTGGGTTCTCTGGGCAGACACCGGTTCTAGAGCCCAGAGACTCCAAAGCCCCCGTAATTAAGGACTATACCTTAAATCATATCAGGGATCCTACTATAATGTAAGGTATAGCTGGACCCCAACTAACCTACCCTTTTTCCGGATCTATATAAGGCAGTCATAATAGGGAACCCTAAAAATGAAGGTTGTGTAGGTTCCAGGTATTCCTTAATGAAGCGATTTGGGAGTTTTTGGGGGGTTTAGCTGTTAGCGTTTACGGCTTAGCGTTGCGAGGGCTCGAGCTGCTCCTGCTGCCACAAGCCTGCTGTGAACGCATAGATGAAGATGTTGACTGCGTGCCTGTCATGTTTAGGGTTTAGGGTTTGGGGTTCTGGGTTTAGGGTCTACATTTATCCACGAGGAAGAGGAAAGCCCTCTTGATAATTCACGTCGCCATTCGCTGGGCGCACGTGGACAATCTACGTTGAACCCGGCTCTTTGTGTGGACTGTGATGAGACAACCATAAACCTTAAGCTCCAAAACTTTCAATTATAGTAAACCAAACCCTAAAAAACTAAACTCGCAAGCGCCTAAACCCTGGGGACCATCAGTTTTTCAAGAGCGCAGCACTTTGCTGTCGTTCAGGCACCGATGGGCATGTCGCTGTTTAGGGTTTTAGGGGTTTAGTGTTTAGGGTTTGATACCCACAGGGTCCGAGTAACTGTATCTTATGAGTCTTTATGGGCCCAAATCTCTACCAATATTGGCACCACGACTAGGACTGCGGACGTTTCGATCGTCGTAGCGAAAACTGCTGTACGAAGTCCACTGCCCTCAACCCTAAAAACCCACCTAAACCCTAAGCCCTAAACCCAATCTCCCTCCCTAAGCCCTAAACCCTAAACCTAAACCCTAAACCCAAGCTCTTTCAACCCTAAATCTAAGCCCTAAACTCTAAAGCATCCTAAAGCCTTGAAGCCAAATGGGCCGCCCAAGCACGAAACTCCAACCCGTCACAAGGAACCCGCACTTCAAGACGGGGCCTACGTGACCTAGGGTTTAGGATTTAGGAGTCGATGGCTTAAAGACAGAGCCTATGACCTAGGGTTTAGGGTTTAGGAGTTTATGGCTTCAAGACAGGGCCTATGTGTGGCTTAGGGATCAGGATTTTAGGGCTTCAAGACAGGGCCTATGTGACCTAGGCTTTAGGGCTTAGGAGTTTATGGCGTAGGGTTTAGGGCCTCTAAAACAGAAGGCAACTGTTTCAAAAGGTCCCAGAATCCCTGTAAGGCTTTGGGTTTAGGGTTTAGTTTAGGGTTTAGGGTTTAGGTTTTAGGGTTTAGGGTTTAGGGTTTATATAGGGGGTAAGCACGCTAGTTTCGCACTTGCACTGAACTAGCCGAATGGATATCAGCAAGCACACCAGAAGAGCTTGGAAGAGGTTGCCACGGACGATGCGGTCTACAACTTTCCCAAAGCCATGAATCAGTCGAAGTATCGCGCCCTGGCGTTAGGCTTGCTCTACAGTTCGATTCTTGAAGATTGTCTACACAAGTCGTAGCTGAACCCAACTCAACCTGCAGAACACCCCCCCCCACCCCCCTTCTCCGTGCTCCCCCGGCGAAGACACTTGCTTACAACCTGCGTCCCCATGATCCTTCAGGTAGGCCCCAGGGAAACTGAACGAAGTATGGCTGTCCTAAGCCCTAAACCCGATATGTCCACGTTTCAGTTTGAAGGTTTAGTGTTGCATGTGGGACTTTGGGAGGTTGAAGTTGTCGAGTTTTTCGGCTACGAAGAGCTTTTGAGCTTTGCAGGAGGCTTTGGAGTGCTCCAGGGCAGGGTTTCGGGTCTAGGTTTTAGAGTTTAGGGTTCAGGGTTTAGGGCTTCTAGGTTTTAGGGTTTAGGCCATGAATTGAGGGGGTATAGAAGTCTCCTTAAGTACTCTACGAGGTTCCCTATGCATGTGTGGTCTGTCTTCAGGATCCTATTAGGTAATTTGCATCGTTTGTTGTCGCTCAGAACCAGCATCTCGGCGCGTGGTTGACCTGGGTTCTGCCGGCTAACTTCACGGCCATCTTCATGCAAAGGCTGACTCGGCAGCACATTCTCGCGTACGTGTACCTCCTCTTTGGCTTGCAACCGACCGATCGATTGCCGAGCTACGTGATTGACGACTGCAGGACAGAATTGCTCGACGAGTGGGCTCGCCTAGGCCGCCCGCTTCAGAATGGACCCCCGACTCCTGGCGAGGCAGCGCAGCGTTCCAACGACGAGTTCAGTGCAGGTGGTGGCTCCGCGCATCCCGACCCCAGCACCGCGGTCACTGCCGATAACAGCGCATCAGACTACAACTCAGGCTAGAGGTCCAGAGGGCCGTGAGAGGTTTGAGAGGGACTGCGAACTTACATGAAGTCTCGAGGGATTTCGTAAGTTGGCTATATGAGGCTTGTCGGTTTGTCAGAAATACGATAGGGGTATGAGTAATTAGTCATCATATGTTGCGGAGGCATCTTCCTTTTGGTCTACCTACTTCTCTCTACTTCTTCATGCAAGCAATAGTAGTCGGACTGCATGTGGGGAAGCTCATCCATCCTGCCTGGTGTTGTCGGGAATTGGCGATTTGTAAGTGCAGCAGAGGCGGGGGTCGTGTGCTGGGCAGTGTTGGGTGGTGCGGGTTCAATAAGACCGAGTGTGCGTGCGGCAGGTACCTTATAGAGAGCCAGCGAGCCAAGAAGGATTGCGACCCTAAAATCCTGAACCAAGACAGAACCCTAAACCCTAAGCCCAAAATCCTAAACGCCAAAACCCCAAAACCCTAGACCTTAAAACAAAACCCTAAACCATAAACGCTAAACCTAGCAATCCTAAACCCTAAGCCAAAAAAACCCAAGCCTTAAGCCCAAAATCCTAAACTCCCCTACATCCTGCGAGCCCAGGAGACTCTCCAAACTTCATGTACAATGTCGGCTGCTGCCTCAGGATGGCTCAAGCACGAAGAACCAGTAGAAACACAGGGTGCTGTAGCTTTAGAGGCGCTTGGTCCCTGTCTGTGCTTAAACAGAACGAAAAACCCAAGAAACAAGGGGCCGGACTAATTACCTATACTATTTTGGGGGTTCATTGTTATACGTATGGTATAAAGGGCCCCAAAGCCCTATTCTAATTATTAAGGCCCCTACGCCAGGGTTCAGGGTTTAGGGGCTTTAGGGTAAGAGCTTCAAGCTACAAGACTTTCAGCTGAAGGGTTCATATCAGATCCAGGGTTTCAGGGTTTAGGTACTAGGGAGGCGATCTACAGGTAGTTATCTAGGGTTTGGGGTTTAACCGGGTCAAGGATTAAAGGTGCAGCTTTGAGTGTTTGGGGATGTGTAACATCATCATAGTCAGAATTGACGGATGCACCACGGCTATGACCATCATTATCCTGCGGATCCTCAACATAAGCGCTACTTGCGCCACCGTCACCCTGATGATCACTCGCCCTACGACCATCATTATCACCGTCGTAGCCGTCGTCGTCAGAGTCTTATTCATCGTTACCTGCAGCAAGGTGATCGTCGCCTGTGAATCATCCCTTAATCATTTCTGTAAATCCTCAACCCTAAACCCTAAACCCTAAAACCCTAAAACCCTGCACCCTAAACCCTACTTTGGCCTTAGGGTTACTAGGTTGGAGCCGTCATGATCCTCACAATGCCCATCGCGCAACTCTGCAGCTACGTACACCGGGAATCCCAAGTTATCTGGATCTTCAACTCCGGAACCTCCGAACACAACCTACCTAATACAGGAGCCTCAGTAATTACCAATACTATTTTGGGGGTCGTTATTATAATTTGAGTATAAAGGGCCCAATTAAACCCCTATTCCAAGTATTAAGGCCCCTATATTATACAGTCTCCATTGTTGTCGTGTTTTGGATTACCTTCTCGAAACCTGAAAAACGACCCCAGGTTCCACCAAGACCTCGAAGTAGTGTAGGGGCCTAAGTGGGAGATTTCTCGTACTATTCCGCAAGGTTCCTTTGTATCGGTAGAGTACAACGTGCCCCAAAACGTTGTTCCGAATAGCGTCTTACGGTGCCCTCTACCCTAGAACTCTAGTACACTTGAACCGAACTGCTTACTAAATCGAATTTTTTTAGAATTTCTAGAGGCTTGGTCGGTGGCCATCGGTGATTCTCCTGCAAGCCCAGTTGCCGATACTGTTCATGATATAAATCCTGCACTACCTTAAGGGCCCGGAACTATGGGAGGTCTGGTTTGTTCCTTCTTATGAGCAATGCAGGATTTATCATCAACCGTACTATGTGGGTTGAAGGTTTAGGGTTTAGGGTTTAGGGTTTAGGGTTACTGGTCGTTACACCCTTTACTTTATCAGTTCCCCCAAAACCCAGGAACCTACTGAGGCTGACAAACCCAAAGTCTCGAAGCCCTAAAACCTATACCCTTATAGGCCTCAGCCATAGACCATCATAAAGCCTTACAGGTGTTAGGGTTTAGGGTTTAGGGTGTTAGGGTTCAGGGTTTAGGCTTTAGGGTAGAAGACCCAAAAGTTGGAAACCCAATAACCTCAATCCTGAAGAGTGACCTATAGGGAATCCAGGCACTATTTGTCCTTAATCTAGTTTCCAACTTATTGGGGTTTACTGTAAGGCCCTACTACTAAATAAGAAGTAATTGGGACCCGACCCCTAAGCCCCTAAACCCTTAACTAAACAAACCTAAACCCTCCAGCCCTAAACCGTAAACCCTAAACCCCTAAACGCTTAACCCCTAATGGGCCCTAAGCCCGAAAGCCCCTTCACTCTTAAAACCTAAAACTTAAAAGAAGCCCTAAACCCTAAACCCCAAAACCCTAAAGCCCTGGACCGTAACCATGCAAACGCCCTACACCCCAAAACCCTAAACCCTTAAATCCTCAAGCCCTGAACCCCTAAACGCCAAAACCCTAAAGCCCTAAACCCTAACTCTTGTAAGCCCTACACCCCAAAACCCTAAACCCCTAAACCCCTACCACCTAAAGCCCTGAACCCCTAAACCCCTAGGCCCTAAAACGCTAACTCCCTAAACCCCTAAACCGTTATAGATCCCAAACAGAAACCCTGAAGAACCCATGTAGATCCCCTTAATAAAAGGAACCCTAAAACCCTAAACCCCTCATGCCCTAAACCTACACCCCTTAAATTAAAGGGACCTATTCGAACTCTTAAAAGGATCCCCTAAACCATAAACCTTAAACCGCAAGCCATACCCTTATCCAACCCTTATAGACACCTTTGAAGGAGCCCTAAAAACCTCTGAACGTCTACACCCTGAGAACTTGACGAGGCCTGTCTGCAGCCAACCTTTTCCTTCGAGTCGTCAGCGATGTGCAGGCACCTAGGGTTCTAGTTGGTGAGGGGGTTTAGGGTTCGGGGCTTTAGAGTTTAGGGTTTAGTTCTTTCTAGTTTAGGGGCGTAGGGTGTTTCTACATGGGATCTATCAGGCTTTTATATTTAAGGGTTCTGGGTGGAGGGTTTTTTAGGGTTTAGAGTTTAGGGGTTTAGTGATAAGGGTTGATAAAGGGGTCTATATAGTTTGCAGCGGGGTTCTACCAGGTTTTTCCAGTGCTTTGTTGAAGGCAGCGTGGGTAGGAAGTTCTTTGGGGGTTTAGGGTTTAGGGGTTTAGGGGTTTAGGGTTTAGGGCTTAGGGTTTAGGGTTGAGGCTTTAGGGTTGAGGGTTTAGGGTTGGCAACCAGTTGCTCCATCGCTCCAGCGACTTTGCATCGACGAAGTCGGCAATTCGTCCGCGACGTGGGAAGGCCTCCGAAGCCGAAGGCATCAGATCCCAGTGGGGGTCCATGTACCCGGGACCTCGCAAAGATGCGGTCTCCTTAAAAAGGATCATCGGGACTTAGTAACTAGAGGTTAGTCTGATTGAGGAAACTACCCTAAGGGTCCATGTGCCCCAAACAGTAGATACTTTGGCCTTAAAGTAGTCCCTATATAGGTACTTTGGGGCGAAAGTATGTACTATTTGAGTACATGGACCCTTAGGGTCAGATCCCAGAGAACCCAATAATTAGATCCCTTAAGTAAGGAAGATACCTTAAATCATAATGTTCATTCGAGAGGGCATCGCTCAAGACTTGCGATCCGGCTCACAGGATTTTTTTTCCGGATATGGAGCGGTCCGACGAAAAACTGGCGTACGCCGTGGAGGGCTTGACACGCATGGGGAACAGCATCCGGCAGGACGTAGTGGTCTAGACTGCTTGGTCGGTTTGGGGGTCGACAGGTACGCTAAACCCTAAACCCTAAACCCTAAACCCTGAACCCTGAAGCCTAAACCGTATCCTGGGCATCGCTAGCTGCACCGGGCCTCTTCGTGGTTTCTGTATGGGATCTCTCAGGGTTGTTGGGGTTTAGGGTTTAGGGTTCCTTTTAAGTTTTAACAGGGATCTATAAGGTTTCGTCAGTGCTTCTATGTATTATATTACTACAAGGGCTTCAGG